GAACTTTCCATATGTTTGATCAATATTATTTTGATATATTTTTAATATAAAATTATAATGTTTAATTAATTTCTTTTTACAATTATAGAACATAAGCAAATCAAAATTATTGTTTTATACATAAACCACTAATTAATAGAAACTCACTTTAATTTCATGGTAATTTATTTTATAGAAGGAAACTTTTATTTCTTTATTTTATAGTATCAGAGTATTCCTTTTCACACTTTCTTACTCGTAAACAAAAAAAATATTCAATTACGTGATTTGATTAATTTTCATAATGATAAGAAGTGTCCCTAAATACTATAGCAATATTGAATTTAATAACAATTAGTTACTACTGATAAGAATTTAAACACTTTTTATTAATATATATAGATATTTATAACTACTAAAAATTATTATTTTTTAATTGTAGCTAATAAATAAAATGTCAAACACGAAATTTATTATGTGTATGTCGTCACTGCCATTCTCATGAATTATTAAGTGGATACACATGCATGTATAAAGGCTATATAATCAAATTTTGTTGTTACCATCCGATGATCCCATAATGCCAAATTGTTAATATTGATTGATGTTTCCATATTGGGTCCAATAATTATCACATACTTGGAATATGACTGGCCAGGCACAAACAGTTTGGATGTTGTTTCAAATCAAATTATTATGATATTGTTCCACCTATCTAATCAACTTTAAAAAAATAAAATTGAATAGACTATTCATATTATTACATCATACCAACTAAAGGTTGCTAGTAGACAAGATTCAAAGAATATGATGTTAATGAAGCACAGCCAAAGATAGAAAACTTATCCAAGTTTTGACTACTAAGGAACAAACTATATTTATTTACATATGCTATTCCTGTTCTTACTATAATTAATTAGTTCATTTATATTTTACATATAATTTGGAAAGTTGTCTCCTCAGTGTAAAAACTAACAAATACCCAAATCTATGCAATTTTGATGATAACTAGTTATACATTTAGGGCCGGATTGAATTGACTTATAAAAAGTACCTAATTTATAAGTCAAAAGTTAAAAGTTATAAGTAAACGGTATCTTACTTTTAATTTTGTCTTATTTAGAAAAATTTTTGGACTAAGGGTGTATTTGATATGATGGAAAATGTTTTTCTGAAAAAACAAGTAGATATTTGACTTATTTTTTCATGTTTGGTTGGTAAGTAGAAAATATTATAGTGTTTGGTTTTTGAGAAATATCTTTTATTTTTGTTGGAGTAGAAAATAATTTTTGAAGTTGAATTTTTTTAAAAAAAACAAACTTAAATTTTTTTTCTGGGGGGGGGGGGGAGTTTAAGGGTAGGGTGAAAAAAAATTAAAATTTGAAGTTGAATTTTTTTAACAAAAATAATATTAATTTTATTTTTTAAAAAAATAATTATATATTTTTTTTGGGAAGGGGGGGGGGGGGGAGGACCTACAGGGCTAATGGGGGGGGGGCTATAAGGGGGCTTTTCGCTGAAGTGGGGGTCGAGGGTTGGAATAAAAAAAATGAATTTTGAAGTTTAAAAAATTTTTTTAAAAAAAA